TAGATAAGTATCTCGTAAAGAACGGATAACTAAGTATCTCGTTAAAACAATATATGTAATTATCTCGTTAAAACGAGATATCTAATTACTAGTATCTTGTCAAAACGAGATATCCTACTCCCTAAATTAACAAAGCTCTTTATAATTAGATACCAAATCGTCATAACAATATAATAAACTCGTTATAGCGAGAAAACTAACTCGTTATAACGAGGAAACTAACTCGTCAAAACGACATAACTCGATATACCGAGATTATTTTCTTGTTATAGCGAGTTACTATTAACTCATTTTATCAAGAAAATTATTTAATCGATATAACGTGGTATTAACTCGTTATTACGAGATAATTTTCTCGCTATAACTAGTTGAATTTTTTAAATCTTCCCAGAATGAGCCTTTTCGGCCTTCATAGAGTTCCCTTTGTATAGGCGAGAATGAGATCAAATGCAAGATAGTCTGTTTTATTGTTATATGTTATTGAAACATCTAAGATGCAAATATTAACGATATCTTTATTGTTGAAAGTTCCTGACGGCAAGAACTGAAATTTTCAACAAGACTGAATGATCCAGCACATTATGTTCAAATTATTCATTTCTCCCCAAATAGCCATCTCAATTACTAGTATGATCCACATCATATAATACTATGAACGAAATTCACAATTAAAAAAAAAACAACAAAACGATTTCGGTTTTCCATTGATAAAAAAGAATTTGAAAATTTAAATGTATGAAAAAAATGTTTATTGGGATAGGTATGATCATAATTTACAAAACAATGTCAATTAATTAAATGGTAGTTCATGAGAGTATGGATTTTTAAACTGTTTCAAAGGAATCCTAAAGCTTGAGAAAAAAAAATTACTTATGAATATCCTCGTATGTTATTACCTTCACGGTAACTCAGTCGGTAGAGCGTTTGCTACATGATCGGAATGTCGTAGGTTCAAGCTCCGATCGATAGAAAAAATAAAATAGGTAGCAACTGTTCCTTCGCCAAGGGTTTGGCACTTTAAAGTGAAAGTTGTAGGTCTTTCGGATGAGACCTTAAAAACCGAGGTCCCTTGTCACGGTAGGCGTGTCCATTAATATTGAAGCCCTTCACCGGTATATTGTGACGTCTCTATATAAGAAAAAAACTTCCAATTCTCGAAATGAACGTAAAACAACATACCATCAATCAATCAATCTTTTTGTCATGAAACAGTGAAAATGAAATTTATTTCAACCTTTCGTATATGTAACAATACAATTTCGCCATATTAATTATGTTATGATCTTTGTCCCTTTCACTGTTCTGTGGATTCTCCTTGTTAAACCAAAATTGGGAAATATTTTTTTACACTTTATACAAACATTCCTCAGGATGAATTAAACGGAGGCTTTTTGATATTATAAACAAGCATTCTGAGAGTATTGCATTAGCAATACTAATACCCTACCGGCAAGTGTAATCTGGTTCCCATTAAAATTGAAAATGTCGTAATTTAGTAAAAAAAAAAATCATTAAAGCGGAACATAATCCAAACTTGATCTATAACTCATCAAGGTAGACTCACATACTAAAAATCAACTCAATATCTGCAAATGTTTAGAAAAAAGTGTGGAAAACCGTCCAAAGTAAAAAGGCCATAATTCCCTTAAAATCATTGAAGAGGAACAAAATCCAAACTTGATCTGTAACATATCGAGATACACAAACATATCAAAAATCAGCTCAATATCTGCAAGCGTTTAGATAAAAAGTGCGAAAAACCAAGTGGGACAGACAGACAGACGGAAGGACAGACAAGAAGGAAACCTATAGTCCCCTCCGGTTCACAGGTAGCGGAATAATAACTGCTTCCTAATTAGAAATAGAAGTCTGAAATTTTTGTATCTTGGACTGGTCATCAACAAAATTACTTCGTTAAAAATCACTCTGATTCTACGCACAGGTACTCTGACATTGATATGAAAAGGATGCTGAAGTTCCTCATTGACAACATTTACATGAAATATGGAGATAACGAACAACATTCAAACCCACATTCCATTTAAACAACACATATTGGGAGCAGAGCAAACACCGGCCTCTAAAAACATCAGAGGCGGGATCAGACGCCATGGAGGAGTAAGCATCCCCTGTTGACCAGTCACACCCGCCGAGTGCTACTTGTCATGATCGGGTAAACGGAATAATCCGTAGGAAATTCAGTTTGTTAATAATGGCCAAACAATTAGTATGAAAAGAGTCAGTCAGCATTTGACTAATGATAGATTGTATTTGATGATAATGTCATTGATTCGACCATAGAACTTGCGAAATCATGACTTCAAAAGAGACTGTTTATATCTGTAACGATTGACCCCCCCCCTCTTTATTTTTATGCAAGACAGTAATGTTATATGACACAGTGTAACTTATTGTTTCATCCATGACAGTGGTTACTAAATCATGCTGCATCAATGACTGTAATATTTTGCTATTTTTGTACGTACTTGGAGCGGGTTGATTTTTCTATCCAATAGAGTCAATGACTGTAATATTTATTGTACATTATGGTGATCTGGAGCGGGTTGATGCAGTTTACATATATTCAGAGTTTATTATTAAGATTTAAGAGATCTACAGATTGTTTTTACTCAAAGTATTAGCATTAATAGATGTCTCGGATACTGTATGTTGATAGCGAGGAAATGCGGACGGTACTTGGTTGTGTAAACGTAACTTTTTGAAGTTTGTCATGATAAATTAAAGTCAGTGTTATGATGGATATATTGAAGCATTGTTTGTCTGAATGATTTTCTTCTGCATTAAAGTTGATTACCTGTTTATTTTTAAATCATGCTTGAAGAGTTCGGGTTTAGTATTGTCATCAAATGTTTACTTCCGGTTATGACTAACCGATAAAGTTATTGTAAATGATAATTTTAGAATGTGTCAAATTACTAATGTATTTTGAACTGTAAGTATTAATTGATTAGAAATTGTTCAACAGATGTTTTATTGTATTTTGGTCATGAATATTGTTATTGAAAATGGATTTAACATTGTTTTTGCAATATTGAAAATTTATGTAATTTATCGGTATATTGCATTATGGTAACGCATTTGTACACTAGATGGCATCTCGGCAAAAGCGATTTTTTTTAGCTTAGCCAATCAAATGTTTCATATGGCGAGATTAACCAATAAGAATTGATTAGTTAAGATTCCCGCGACTAGATAGATCGTTTGGTTAAGTCTATATAAAGGGTGCATTTTCGTCTGCTTGTTATTCTGGGGAACTTGTAGTTTAGGGATAGGTTGGTAGCGTTGTTAGGTTTATTTTATTTATTTTATTATTATTATTATTATTATTTGTTTTCTTTTCTTTTAATTTTATTTATTTTACTTTAGGATTCGATTTTTATTTATTTATATTTAACGGAATAACAACTGATGCAGTGATTTAACTGTGGGTTGTAATTTCCGTGATTTTTATTGAGTTAGTAGATTTTTCGTAAATTCTTAGATTTATAAATTGATTGACTTTTGAGATATTTTTGATTGAGAAATATTTTTGAATAGGTAAAAGTTAGTTTGATTATCATTGGTAATTTATTTAATTATATTTTAGTGATATTTTTCATTTTGAATTTATCGATAGATAATTTAAGTACAAACTATTCGTAAATTAATTCAGTGCGTTAATTGTTGTATGCATCTGTGAGTTAGTCTTTAGTTTATTTGCTAAGTAGGTTAACTATTGTGAACAATGCAGTAACTGAACTGCGTGTTCATACGTTAGTAAACATTATTATATGGTTTAGGTTAACCATAGTGAACAAGTGAGTAACTTAACTCATTTTACAAATTGGTATATCAAATCCTGTTTTCATCTAATAAAATTTTATTATAGGATTATTTAATCAGAGTTATTCCCCTTTTGTTTTTATTCTTGAAGTAAATGTCTTAAGGGAGGGAACACTTGACAATTATGTGGGTTATTGTTATTTATTTTTAATACATTTTGTTATGAATTGAAATTATACAGCCTGAATGTTGTGTGAGAGTGTTGTTCATATGTTGTTATTTGATTTAATTTAATAAATTGTAAACTTTACATACTCTCTATTATTTCAAGTATCATATTATTGAGGTATATGAAAGGATTATGTATTTTATCTGTCCCTATTTCTCGATGTGAATATACAGTCTGAGCAGAAGTTTAATATGTACTTCTAACACCGTCTGCGCTACACTTAGCTTCTATCATGTGTTGCATTCTGAGCATACGTGGTGTGATGGCGTTACATTTTTGGCATCCACGGCGGGATATCCTGTTCATTTTTAGGGATATCCTGTGATACGAATTTAATTGTTAAGAAGTTACGAATTTAATTTGATCTATGTGTAATATGTGTGAATATATATATTTTTATCTGTCGATGGCAAACCCTACTGTGAATCTACTAAGAAGCGTTCTACATAAATATAAGCTAGATTTATGTGAAGAGTAAGAGAGAGTGTATTAAGTGAACATTGTTTATTAAAGGTCTGTTTAAGTTGTTTTTTTGAAACACAATTTTTAAGTCAAGATAGGACTACAACTACCTCCAGTATTTTAATTGAACATGGTAGTACACTGCTTTAATAACAGTCAGAAGGATGGTCAATTAACTTATCTTGAAACTGTAAATCTCTCTTGTAACAGTAAAGGACATGTAGTATGTTAATTATACCTGACACTGTCAACAGTACAATCGGTCATATAACTGATTTTGAAACTGTAAGTGTATATTCGACAATGAAGTGGACAGCAACTCAACTCTTCGGAGACGTAGCCCATTGAAGACAAATGGACATCAACGACACAATAACGTAATGTTACTCCAGATAGACAGAATCGTTTGTTTACACAACATGCAGAACCAGTATGTCGCTCAGACGTATAATATTCAGAAAGGAGATTTCTTTATCGGCATCCCTGCCTTCCAGAAGATCTTTGAATGATTTATCCTCTCAAGACTATGTACCAGTATATGATAGCAGACAGAAATCAACAGGAGAAAAGAATGACTAGGGCTGTAATTGAAGCTCCTCAGAGCAATTTCAAAAATAATCAGAGGAATAAAGAAACTGCTACACAACAGAAATTCAAGACTAACAACAAGTCGACAAGTTGCTTCTCCACAGAGAATCAGCTTGAAGAAGAGATGAATAAGCTTAGACAACAAATGTCAGAGATTCAGAAGTCTTTAGAACAACTGAACCAAAGAAACTCTCGTTTTAAGACTACAAAACAATCCTTTTTATGTTTTCATTGTGAAAAACCTGGCCATTTCAAACAAGAATGTCCCATGTTGCATTTTCAACAATATGCAGCTCCATCAACAAATCAATGTTACAATGGAAGTTCTAGACCCAACTCATATTCTGCTGCTCCTTTAAACCACCAAGGATCGTAACTGATGGTCGAGGAACGGTCCACGGTTCCGAGAGGAATGATCTACAAAAGACCAAAATTGAAAATGTTATTAACCGTAATTATGAAAGAAGTCCTGGAATTTATGTTAAAGGACAAATCAATGATTCTTGTATTATATTTACAATAGATACTGGAGCTTCTAGAACCATATTATCAAAATCAGTCTTTGAAACTTTAGCGAGGAAACCTAAATTACATAAGACCACTGGAATTTTGAATGCTTGTGGCAGAGATATAGGAGTATTTGGCGAAGGAGAATTTACATTGAAACTGGGAGATTTCCTTACTGATCAGCATATTATAGTTGCAGAAATAGATGACGATTGTCTTTTGGGAGTCGATGTTCTATATGCAGAGCAGAATATGCCTGCAGAAATATTACTGAGTAGGGGGATACCTAAACTTCAGAATAAGGAAATTCCTCGTTTCCAGACAACTACAGAGAGCAGATGTCGTAGAGTAACTGCTGCAGATAATTATGAAATTCCACCGTTCAGTGAAAAGATCATACAGGCATTTATTGAGAGATCTGAAGACCCCAAAGAACAAAAGGAGTTATTAATTGAACCTTCAGAACTTTTCACTGAACGATATGAACTCCTAATGGCCAATACTCTGGTTGATATAGAAAACAACACAACTGTACCTGTCAGATTACTTAATCTTACAAATGTTGAACAATACGTTCACCAAGATGCTGTTATTGGCATGGCTGATGAATTTTCTTCTTATGTCCCATTTACTGAAGGTACTAGTACTACAAGGAAGTTCAACTATACTCCTTTGAAAGTCAGAGATGTTGCTGAAATGGATTTAAAAGCACATAGAGATTTACCTGAACATATGAAAGAACTGTATAATAATGCAGTTGACAACAATAATTTTGACGACTTATCCAAAAAGAAAATTTATGATCTACTTTCTGAATACAGCAATGCTTTTTCAAAGAATGATCTAGATCTAGGATATACTACTGTAACGGAACATGAAATAGATACTGGCGATGCCAAGCCCATAAAATTACCGCCTAGAAGAGTCCCTCTTGCTTATGCTGACACAGAATTACAGTTAATAAAAGATATGGAAAAACAGGGTATTATCCGGAAATCTAATTCCCCATGGGCATCTCCCTTGAATTTAGTTATGAAGAAAAATGGAAAGGTTAGACCATGTATTGACTACCGGAAGGTGAATGATGTTACCAAAAATGATGCTTTCCCATTGCCAAGAATCCAGGATTGTCTAGATGCTATATCCGGAGCTTCCATTTTCTCGACTTTCGATTTAACGTCCGGGTATCACCAAGTACCTGTAAAGTATCAGATATTCCGAAAACGGCATTTGTCACAAAATATGGCCTTTGGGAATTTTTAACCATGCCAATGGGATTAAAAGGAAGTGCACAAACATTTCAAAGAACTCTACAAATTATTTTAAGTGTTCTCCAGTGGCAGACTTGCTTAATTTATTTAGATGATATTATTGTGTTTGGATCCACTTTTGATGAACATTTGAAAAGAGTTAAAGAAGTTTAAGAATGCATACATCAAGCCGGACTAAAGTTAAAACCCAAAAAGTGCCAATTATTTCAACAAGAGGTTACCTTTCTAGGTCATGTTGTAAACAAAGATGGTGTAAAACCAAATCCCGAAAATATATCCAAAATTTTGGAATGGCCTGTACCGAAAAATGTCACCGAAATACGTCAAATATTAGGAATGGCATCATACTATAGAAAATTTGTCAAGGACTTTTCTGCCATTGCTAGACCCTTAATACAACTGACAAAGAAAGATGTTCCTTTCAAATGGACTGAAGATTGCTATATAGCTTTTACAAAGATTAAAGAATGTCTGACTGGACCAGATATTATGGCCTTTCCTATGACAAATGAAGAATTTATTCTCGATACTGATGCCAGTAATTACAGCATTGGGGCTGTTCTTAGCCAAATACAAAATGGTCAAGAAAGAGTTATTTCATATGCTAGTAGAACTTTGAACAAGGCCGAGACAAATTATTGTGTCACTGACAAAGAATTATTAGCAGTAAAATACTTCATTGAATATTTTAAACAATATCTACTAGGTAAGAAATTCCGAGTTAGAACAGATCATCAAGCCTTAGTCTGGCTGTTCAAAATTAAAGAACCAAAAGGACGGATAGAAATACTATCAGGATATGACTTCTCCATAGAATACAGACCTGGACATAAACATGGCAATGCTGATGCATTATCTAGATGTCCTGATCCTCATAGTTGCCAATGTTCTGATGAAATCAAGTTGAAGTGTGGTCCCTGTAAAAAGTGTGTAAAAAGAAATGAAGAAATCCCTCAAAAGAAGAAATGGTGTAATACACGTATCAGTGCTGAGAATAATATTCGTGCTGTTACTCGTAATCAGGAAAATACTGAATTTACCACTTGGTATGATGTTTGTAAACCTGTAAATATGACACAGTTACAGCAGAATGACCCAGATTTACAATTACTCTATAATGCAAAGAAAGAGAGTCATCAACCAGAAGAAGTCTTACTGAAAGATGCCAGTCCTGCTTGCAGATATTATTGTAACATGTGGGATTCCATTGTATTTAAAGACAATGTTTTATATAGAGAATACATCTCGAAAGATGGAAATTATACTTACCTTCAACTATTATTACCCCGTTCTTTGCGTGACGAAGTCTTACAGCAGATGCATGACTCTGTAGTGTCTGGGCATTTAGGGGTTAAAAGGACAACTGCAAAAATAAAGAAATTGTTCCATTGGTATGAAATGAGAACTGATGTACATGCCTGGATTGAAAAATGTCATATTTGTCAGATGAATAAAATGTCAAATAAACCTGCAAAAGCACCTATGGGTGACATGAGAGTAGGAGCACCTTTAGATCGTTTATGTATAGATATACTTGGACCTTTACCTAGGACTCCTCGAGGCAACAAATACATTTTAGTTACAATGGATTACTTTAGTAAATGGGTTGAAATATTACCTATCCATGACCAAACTTCAGAAACTTGTGCTGACAAAATATTTAATGAATTTATAGCAAGATATGGCTGTCCGCAAAGTATACACAGCGACCAAGGTCGAAATTTTGAAAGTGGATTATTTCAAGAATTTTGTAAGATTTTAGAAATCAAGAAAAACTAGAACAACTCCTAGAAACCCAAGAGCCAATGGCCTGGTTGAACGATTTAACAGAACTTTAATTAGTATGATAAAATCATACATAAAAAGCAAACAGACAGATTGGGATAAGAATTTAGGATGTTTAGCCATGGCATACAGAAGTACACCCCAGGAATCGACAAAATTTTCTCCGAATATGATTATGATGGGAAAAGAAGTTAAACTTCCATTACAAGTCTTATATTCCTACCCAGAATGTTCAGAAGAATGTGTTTCATATGGTGATTACCTGTATATTCTAAGAGAGAATCTGTATCAGTCGCATCAGATAGTCAGGAAGAACCTAAAACAAGTAATGGAGATACAAAAGGATAAATATGACAAGAAATCTAACTTGAATCAATATCGAATTGGTGATTTAGTTTCAATATTAATGGAGAGTCCAGATACTGACCTTGAGAGTCATAAGTTACAACCAAAGTATATTGGTCCCTGTCTCGTTCTACAAAAGATCAATGATTTGTTATACAAAGTTAAAACCAGTGAACAAGCCAATGTTAAGATTATTCATCATAACAAGATGAAACCATATATAGGAGAAATGCTTCCCTGGATGAAGAAGTTTGTAAAGAAGAATTAAAATATATTATGAATCAATTGTATTATTCATAAAAATGATATGTGCTGTTATTGTTGTGAAGAAAGATATTCTGTTGTAATATAACAACATAACCAGCTGAATACATAATTAATGTATCACAGAACTTGGTCCTGGCCTGGGGTTGGAAATGTAATAATTTTTTTTTTTTGTAAATTAAAAAAAAATTATACTCACCACTTCTTCTTCCTGTTCTTGTAGTTGTCGTTGTTATCAACGTAATGGATCCATCCATGTTGAAGTTGGCAAAGAGGAAAGGGGCGGTATTCCAGTGCACATATGAGCAATGTAGAGAACATGGAGACAAATTATCAATAGAAAGACACATCTTACTTAGACATGTGGAAAAGAGTCATGTGCCGTATAGTTGTTCTGTTTGCGATTTTGTTGCAATGAAAGAGAATTATGTAAAGAAACACTATAAATGGTACGTGCCACACAAGAACAAAAAGTTGGAACAATTTGAGATTATAAAAGGAGAGGGTGAAGTGGACTTAAAATTAAAGAAGTGGGAGGGACCTGCATCATTGAGTTATTGGATGATGAAATTATGGACTCTTGTGATGTTACGAAGAAGGAAAATGTGGTAGAAGATATAAAAGATCAACTGTTCGAGGATATCAACAGTATGGACGTAGACCAAGGTTTAGATATTGGAGAAGATCAAGATAATGATGTGGAGAAAAGAGAATCAGATGTGGTAGCAGAAAAGGAGAAGTTGTTAGACGAGAAGATGAAGAAGATCGACGAAGTGTTCAGGATGGTCTCGGAGATATACAGGAATGGGCCTACCAGGGGACTCTCTCCATTACCATTTAGGGAACAGACACCACCCTTACGACGAAGGAGTCCACCTTGATCAAGAAGTCCACTGAAACAAAAGCTAGTACAGGACAGAACCAACTATAGGAGACAACAAAGAGGTAAGAGAAACAAAACATGGAGGAACAACAAATGGAGGAGAGCAACGACATTATTTCAAGATAAAGACCATCATCGACAGAGTTCACCTAAAATTAAGTCTGTAGTTAAGAAAGTTCATATTAAGTAAGTTATTGTTTGTAGTTGAGGAGGGTTATTTAGATTTGTGGTTTAGGGGGTGGATTTTACTTGTTATTATATCAGTATTCATAAGTAAAGTATGTCAGGTTCCTATATGTGATGCTTTGCTATATACATTGAAATGTTATATTGTTGACATTGTGTATCATGAAGAGATATCCCTTTGTTTTGTATACAGAATTTGTGTATGACATGTGGAACCTTCTTATGTGCAGAAAACATACATATTATGATAGTATTTAGAATTGTGAACTGTTGATTGTATTGATTTGGGTTTATGTGTGTCTAATGATGGTGAATAGTCTTTAATCATACTGTTTGTATATCAGGATGTACAGGGATCCTGACATTTTTTTTTAAATTCTGTGTCAAAGCTTTTACTAGTTTTTCTTATGTAATAAAATTAGTGGAAAGTCGGGAACATCAGTGACGACTGACCCCGCATAGGTGTAATTAACGACGGTTAATCACCGAAAGGTTCTGGTTTAGATATATCCTGTTAGATTATCTCATTTTAACCCATGTTTAACATGTTTAGAACCTCATTATTGGATTGAAAACCTCTTTTAGCAGGATTGCACGTAATTTTTTCTGTTTTCTCGGGTGAGACTTCTGTTGTTGGGGAACCAAATGTTATGATTTTATTTGACTATATGTCCAGTTATTTGTATTGTCTGTGATATTATTTTGAGAATATGTTGGTATGTTTGTTGTCATAGTACTGATTCATTATTCTTTATTTATGGGAAATTACTTTGAGTTGTAATGATGCATGAAAGTGATGTATGAATGTGATTAATTATTTATAAGCATTTTGTGTGAATGGTGTGATGGCGTTACAATATCCTTGTTTCATCAACTTGTTGGTTAATAGCTTTCCTCGTTTTAAAAATCGATCCTACGTAGAGCATGCTCTTGTGTATCGAATCAACTTAGAGACATAAACCCTATATGCAGGTGATAAGGGTATATTGCTACATAAGTAAGTAAAGTTGAAGTAGCTATTAATAAGGTTGAAAATAAACTACTGGTATGGAAAGAACTTTAGAGAAGACAGTTGCTTTCATATATTGGAAATGCACTGCACTTCATAGAGGAAAAAAATAGTATCATTAAGACGTAGTTATCAGTGGTAGTATATAAATGAGAAATGTAGATATTAGAATAATAAAGCGTTTTATATGCATCTCTTCTTGGATTTTGGTATATAAAGAACAAAAAAGTGAGAAAAATGAAAATTTATTTGTTTAACCTCACATGTGATATTCATAAATGGCATTAAAACAACATAAGCTCTTCATATATTTTCATTCAATATTATTCTTGTTCGTTGAAATGTTTAATAAAACAACTTCATCTGCTGGAATTTCAGTCTGTTCTTTGTTCAATTCATCAATGGGCGTTAAAGGAGAAGACTCTTCAGACTTGTTCTCCACGTGCTCTTTGCTACCGCCATTAAGTTTTTCCAACACTTCCGGTACCTCAAACTCATTCTCCTGTTTCTTTTCTTCTTCCAATTTCTTAATTAATTCTTCTCTCTGTTGTAAATGAAATTAATGTTGTAATGAAATACTAACTACTGATAATTTGGTCCCAAATGAAAAAAAAATACATCAAACATCTCTCCTTATATTGAGCACGTGTTTATACATCCCCTCCCACAAAAAAGATTAACAGTCTTTTGATTATTTGAGAAAAAACATATCGCTCATTTTAGGACTGTAGCAAATATTCAGAATTAACCATGGTTAATACCTTATTTGATAAACTATGTCATTTGTTAAAATTTGTTATTGTTAAAATGCCTTTAATTTTAATATTATTAGTCAAATAAATGTATACTGTGGATCTTGACAATCTCGATACTTGGAGATATGAAAATAAAAAAATGCGTTTTTGAAAATAAGAATCTCACCGCTCAAGGGCCCTGAGTGCCAAGAAAAAGTCTAAATTTGAATCCCTTTCCCAATATTTGGTGACGTCTCATGTGAGGACATTACACAACAAATAATCATTCAATCTGTTTACGGATTCACTTATATTTTTGTGAAATTAACAAAGCAAAAGTACGTAATGTAATAGTAATTTTTGCCTTTTCAAAAGGTACCCCTCCATATAACTTCTTTCGTAACTTTTTCGGTAAAAATGGAAAGAACTGGTCAAAAAATGGAAGAACATAACGAACATCTACCGTTGCTGGATCAGGGCGACCTACAAAATACTTAAAATTAATGGAGAGAGAGAGAGAGGGAGAGAGAGAGAGAGAGAGAGAGAGTTTACGTATCTTTGAACCATATTTATGTTTTTAAGTTTTACAAAAAGGATATTAGGAAGGTAAAGGAAATTGGACGCTTTTACGTTTATGAATTGAATCATAGACTCTTACCAATTATTATACTAGCCAATGAACAAAATATCAGTGATACGATTATGAGGAATCCAGTCAGCCATTGGTATGATAAAGAATAGAAACGGTCCAAACCTTGCCTGAAAGATGCAGTTAAACTATCTCATTAAAACACTTATCTACTTCTCATAATAAAGAGTGTGCCAAAGTAATCCGTATTTCAAACACCGACTTAAATATATCGAAATAATTCTTTTTGAAACAAAACTTTCCTTTTTACATAAGTATTTGATTTATTTGAAAACCTTAATATATTGACTGAAATAAAACTTTCTTTATCCGATTGTTAAGACAGTTATAAATTCTTTTGAACAAATAGCGCTTATTTACTGTCCTCCAAACAAACAATTTTTCATATGCTGACTTGCACTTGTAATTTGATGTTGTGATTGTACTCCGGGTGGAAATATCAAATCTTTTCAAAGTTTGATAATTATATTTTCCAATAATTGCATATTCTTAAAAAATTATAAACATTTAATTAAGTATAAATTTTATTTCAAGCCTTATTTTTTTTTCTTAACAAAAGCCTAGGCCATGAAATATAGGCTGTTTACAAATTTACGGACAACCCTCGTAATTCAAACCCAGGAAAACATATGAAAACATATGAACAAAGAAAGGTTTTTCCTAGAATGTAACGTACGGTCTCTGAGGTATCGATTCTTTGACTAAACTTGTCGTTGCTTCTTGCCAAGAAGTGTTCTGCATCATGGTTGTACTCATAAACGTCATATTTGTTAGTGACGTCATGTCATAGCATTTGTCTGTTGGTCCCGGTGGGAGTCCAGGAGTACGTTTAAGGGTTGTGGAGAAATTTTGTTCAGTGGTAATCCACAATCCCACCACTGCTGTCAGCAATGTTCCTATAATTGCCCCCTGAAATGTTTTCGCCAATACACTATTCTTGCTTGTGGGCTAAATTGCATGTTTTTTTTTCATCCTTCACCAACCGAAATGATATTATCTCTTATCAATTTAATCAATTTGTGAATCATGTTTTAAAGTTGAATTTTTATAGCATTTAAACATTTATAGCATCTATACAGACGTCAGCTACCAACCTTTGCATTCCCCCAAGGACAAAACACCGAGAAAAGAAATAGCCCTGATGCAGGACCACCAAAAGCAGCAAGAACACTGAATGATATCTGTGATTCATGAAATATTAAATCAATCAGAAGTATACATAAACCTAATATATATTAATGTGATGTATCATATCGTTATAATAATATACAAGTTATGCTTCAAATAATATGTACCTGCGACATTGGCCCTTTTATCTTGGCTATAAGAAAGGACACACCGACACATAGAGCACCGATCACCACAACTAATAAAATATGACGAAATAACTTTCTGAGACAATTATATGTACGTGTCGTTACTTTCATTGATGAAAATGAAAAGTTGAGGTATGACCATACTTTATTTTGTGTTTATTAGATAGAGAGAGAGAGTCACCTGATATTTTTGCTATTAATGTCACCGATCTTTCTGACAAGGACTTAAACGTTGGTCTAACGACATCTTCAATGGCTAGAGCTGAGAGACTACTCAACCCAGAGGAAAGTGTACTGAAAAATATCAATTATCAAACATTTGCCTAGAATTAGGAGTTAGCTACTAGTATATATTGGACAGAATCCAAGAAAATATAAAATTGCATTTAATTAAAAAAATTACCTTAATGACGCACTGAAAAGGGAGGCCATGAACAGCCCAGCCATTCCTGGAGCTTCTTTGAAAATCTCTAAAACCATGAAAGGCACAACCTGAAATTGTATTTCTCATTTCTTAATAACAAAAACTTAATTAGTGTAGTATTTTGTTTAAATTTAATGGTTTTCTTACACAGGCACTTGACGTTTTAAACCCTTCTCTTTATTGATAAAAATATTCCCAAACTATAATGATAACGAGGTTATTATTATAGTTTGGGGATATTTTTATCAATAAAGAGAAATGTTTAAATCGTCAAGTGCCCGTGTTTTTTTTTTTCCATTTTCATCAATGCGATATCTTATGTCAGTTTAAACTATTTTATTCAATTCTTTAGTCCTGTTTTACCTGGTTGGGGTTGGAAATTTTTTTAGACTTCAGAGGATCACAACCAAGGGAAGAAAAGAACGCATAAGCCACGGCTCCCTCCAGTGTGGCCAAAGTCAAGGTAATGAAGAAAGCAGGTCCAGCTAAATAGAGGACTCTACGAAAGAAAAAGACATAATGTTAACATCCAATGAAGAAAGCAGGTCCAGCTAAATAGAGGACTCTACGGAAGAAAAACGCATGCTGTTAACATCCACTTGATGCCCTGAAATTTAAAACTGTACAGACGTAGATGTGCACGTTGAAATTTTTTATAAACGAAAAATTTTCACAAGGTAAAAATATATTCTGCTGCATTAAATGAAATTCTATCCATAAAATTTGAAAATATTGCAAAAATATTTCTTATGGTTATTCTATTTCAACTCTTAAGTATTATATCTTACTCTTATATTCAAAATTAAACAGGCAATAAAAGACAAATCAATCACCCACCTATTAGCAGCTTTCTGAGTTGGGGTAGAGACAATTCTTTGAACAGTGGTCTGTCCAGTGTTCAAACTCACCATACGAAGACAACCACCAATAACAAGGCTCCAAAAGGTGTGACGGATTGTAGGGTCAGGGTCAAAACTGAGAAAAATCAAATATGAATTATCTTTCTTCCATTGCTTCGAGCCGTCACGGTAGCTCAGTCGGTAGAGCGCTAGCTCCGTGATCGGAAGACCGTGAGTTCGAATCTCGGCCGCGACTGACCTAAGTCGATAAAAAAAAAATGGTAGCAACTGTGTTCCTTCACCAGGAGCTCAACACTTTGAAGTGAAAGTTGCGAGTCCTTCGGATGAGATCTTAAAAACCGATGCCCCGTGTCACGGCAGGCGTTGGCACGATAAAGATCCCTCACTGCTCAATGGCCCTGAGTGCCGAGTAAAGGTCTAAATTTGAAGCCCTTCAAAAGTATCTGGTGACGTCTCTATATGAGTGAAAAATTCTCAAATGGGACGTAAAACAACATACAATCAATCAATCAATCCATTGCTTCGGTGGGGACTATTTGTATATCCTACAATTACATGTATTCTATAAATCGTTGTATCGATAATCAGAATTGTATGAGTTATATTTTATCATTAAATGCTTCAGATAAAAGATATTACAGGGACTGACACATCTGTTTCATATTTGGATATTTTACAAAAAGACGTTAATGGTAATCTAACAACCAAGCTTTATGATAAACGTGATGACTTTAACTTTTCAATCTTCAACTTCCCTTACTTATGTAGCAATATACCTTCACCACCTGCATACGGGGTTTATATGTCTCAGTTGATTCGATATGCAAGAGCACGCTCTACGTATGTACAATTTCTAAAAGATATCAAATTATTGACAAACAAGTTAATGAAACAAGAATATCAGCAGTCTCGTTTAAAGTCATCATTTCTTAAGTTCTATGGTCGATACAATGACCTTGTCAGCCAATACAATTTATCATTGAGTTAAATTCTGACTGACGTTTTTCATACTAATTGTTAGGCCATTATTTACACAATGAATTCTCGACGGATTTTTCCGTTATTTCCCGATCATGACGAGGAGCACAAGGGTGTGACCGGTCGACACGGGATGCTCACTCCTCCATGGCACCTCATCCCACCTCTGATGTTTTGGAGGTCCGTGTTTGCTCTGCTCCTATTTTGTATTGTTTAATGAACTTTTGAGCTTGAATACTGTTCGTTATCTCCATATATTTCATTCATTGATTTTCTTTTCTGAAAGAATTCCTAGATTAATAATTTAATGTTGCATTGAAATAAAATAAAATGTAAAGAGTACTTTGAAGAAGTATGAAATCAAGTTTTTTACTTCAAAATATCCAATCTTCCTGTGTTTTTGTTAATTTCAATTACATTTGATAATCCACCAGCAACCATTGTGCCCTTAAAAAAGAAAATGTACATTGATCAGAGTAGAAAATAGAAAAGCTGTTCAGAAATTTATGCCTGCTTTCTTACATTATCATACTTTATCATTGCTTCAGTGTGAATGATGTATTAATCATGAAATCAAAATCGTAGCTCCAGTGTGTAATACTTTAATTAATTTCTGAATTGCAATTTTCTTAGTCCCTCATTTATTTGGAAGGACGCTAGAAATTCCTTTCCTTCGGGTGTATGGCATGGTTCTCACAAGAAAGCAGAAGTAGGACCATGCCAGTATAATAATACATATATATTTTGTATAAATTATAGATTCTAACCTTTATAAGAATGGCAAATATACCCATGAACATGACTAGGCTTTGAAATACATCTGTCCAAATCACTGCTTTTATACCACCCTAATAAACAACAAATCAAAAGTGAGAACTTTCATATTTTGCATGCCATTTTGATGTTTTCTTTTAAATATTTTCTTCATCCAAATAAAGTACATGAGATGTAACTTAGCTTAAACGGATAAAGGAAGAATAGCGAATAAATGGAGTTAAGATAACATGTTTTACATACCTGTATAAATATTAATACTTACAATAGACGTATATATTACTGAACAAACAGCTACGACTAGAGTCGAAGCCCACATAGGAAAGTTGGTCACTGAAAAAAGTATCAGGGGCTCGTTTCTCAAAAAGTCTTAGATTTGGGCCTAAGTTAGTCCGACTAAGTAAGTTACGCCAAAATTTAGACAGGCCTAAATCGCGTTTCAGAAAGCGGCGTAAGACTAGGCCTAAGACTAAGACATCTCCGCTAAGTACTAAGCATGCGCAGATCGTATTTTATTTGGTTTAGAGACTAAAATTACATGTGGCGGATCAAATTATTATCAAACTTAAACCTAAATACAGAAGTTAGGCACGGAAAGCATTAGCGCGCGTGCATTTTTTCTCTCTTTGAAACCATCTTTATAACAGATATATTACGCAAACCTATCTGTATTTTCAAGGTCAAAGCACTAAAATTAAATAACTATTTTTGTATGCTCTGATAAATTAAAAAAAAAATCTATTTAGGTACAAATTACATTAGAAAAGCATGTACGTGCATGTACTCGATTGTGATATTTCGATATACACTCGAACATTAAAACCCAAACGATGTACATAGCACACGTACTTAGGAAAAATTGGAATACATTAAGCATGAAGAATTTTACTGAAGTAATTTCCTTTGAAAATAAGCCATATTGTCTTTTCACTTATGTTTTACATTAAAATAAATACACATAAGGTAGTGGCAAAGTCATGGAACGCGTTTGTAGCTACGGTTTTAAAAGGGGGGGGGGGGCACAAAAAAATCTGACAATCCAAAAAACCTTAACTACCAAAAATTGGGGGTTGCTAAGGGAGGGGGGACTTCCTAAATTAATGTGACCAAAAAAATTTCATTAACTTTCCAAGTCAAAAACCTAATTAACTGTCCAAGTCATGGAATTTGCCAGTTTTCGACCTTACAGCGACAGAAAGTGGAAGGAGAGGGAAAGGGGGGGGGGGGCAACCAGCATCTGAAGGAAAATTTAAATAGCAAAAAACAACACTCAGAAAAATTGGAGGGCGGGGGCCCCTGGCCCCTTCGCCTTCTACGGACCTTTGGAAAATTTAACAATTATGAAATCATATATTATTAAAATATGGATATGAGGTTTTTGAAAATTAATCAGTTGTGTTGAATTTATAATTTCAGAATAATCAATTCTAACTGAATTAGATTTCTTGGCATTCAAGCTGATACATGTATTATAATACATGTATTATACTTTGGACATACAGTACAACATTGATATCGATATAATTTACACAGTCCATGTAAAAATACGCATATACAACATTTCCATTATCACACGCATTCTCAATAAAGGTCTGCAAAAGCTTAATTAGTTTTTAATCAATTTCTTGTAATCCATATTACAGGCAAGCAATCTAGTATTTTTATAAATTTCTGAAGTATTTTCATTCAATATATTTCCAGTCGGAATCAGATTTATTTAGATCAGGAAAGGTATAAATGTCAACATCACCATCTTCTTATTTTATATCTAGTAATTCCGTTTCAATTTCTATTAAGAATATGATCATGTAATATTTCTTTAATAGATGCAGAATATTTCTTGAAGATTTTATCTCGATATAAAGATGTTACCAAGTCATGATTTTCATATTCATAAATATTTTTAGATAAGCAAATTTCTTCTTCTATGTTTTACGAGTCTACGATAGATTGTAAATTAATTAAAATCAAGTACATATTTTTTAAAAAAAGAAGATAAACCAATCTGCACATCTTATACGCCATGGCAGTTACTCCTTTGAAATATGAAAAAAAAACAGTATTACGGACAAGATAATTAATTACTGGAACATTTTACAAATTCATATTTTTCTGTTCTATAAATTTTATATTGAATTAAAGGGGAAATTAAGGTAAAAGGTTCATTAACTTGGCATAATAACCGAATATTTCTTATTATCGTAAACATATTAAATGTATATTGTTTGTGGATTTTTTTTTCAAAAACATTATCCATTTAAAAAAAAAAAAAAAAAAAAAAAAAAAAAACAGGGACCCAGTGTCTTGGGGAGATTGGGAAGGGGGGGGGATAGGTAATTGAGTATAACCAAAAAAAATATTCAGCAAACTTTGACAGTACACGAAAACAAATGCTGAAAGTGTAGGTCAGCCTAAATTACAACTTAATTTTTAAAAGAAAACACCATTACTGGAGAAATCGGGAGGGTTACAGCCCCCTCCTCATACTACGCGTGCCTGCTTTTTTTTAAAACTCGGGCACTTCTTAATATCTTAAGTTTACCTAGTTTCACAATTCAAATTTCTTACTTACAAATGTCTAGCTCATCAAACCTTTTTACGGAAAAAAAAATCTGCATCCTCGCTGGATTTTTACCACCTTTCTATTTACCTACATAATAATTGTATATTTCACGATTTTTTGCATATCATGTATTTACATGAATAGGTATTATATCGTTTACGTACAAAATAATTATTCTTTTATCTCTTTATGACCAAAACACTTGCCACTTTTTTCAAGTTGTGGACAGACTAAGAACTTACGCCTACTCATGAGCAGGCCTAGATTTAAGCTTAACTTTAGTCTCGACTTAAGTCTGCGCCCTTTTGTGAAACGCTACTTAGTCCGATTTTGGGGTTTAGTCACTGACTTAGTCCGGACTAAGCTTACGCCTGGTCGTAGGCCTTTTTGAGAAATGAGCCCCAGCTGTTTAACATCTTCTATATACTATTTATCGTTTGAATGATGTAAAAGAAAAAAAAATAAAAAATATAGAGTAATTGTAAAGATGAGTGAAAAAATGTTCAGATGTACCTGATTCCAATGCAATACCAGGACCAAACAATACAATGCCCATATATAAAATCTGAAAAACAGAATTTGTGGCCTATTTTAAAACTGTTGCAGCTAGCTTCGCTTTTAATATCACAGTATAATTTGTCTTCAAACTAAACATAACCCCATTTCAAGTTTCATAATTAAAAAATGTTTGACGCAATCAAGAAGAATCATAGATGTGAGAGATGATTGTCCGCTTACAGTGGAAAAATGAGTTTTACAGTTTTCAGTGAATCATTTAGCAATATATAAAACTTTCAAAAAAAAAAAATAAATAAATAAATAAAAATGAATAAAAAAGAAAGAAAATAAATAAATAAAGCAAACAAACAAAAAGTAAACTAAACAAAGCGAATGAAAAAGACCCCCTCCCTAATATCAAAATAAACAAACAAAACCAAACCAAAGCAAATAAAAAGTACAAAAAAAAATTAATTGAAGTATGAAAATGGAAGTAATAACACACTATTTCTACCATAAAAATTGTGTTTTTTTTCTTCAGATGTACTATATTTGAGAAGTGATGTAAATCAAATGTGGATTTTCAAAAACTTCAAAGAACTTTAAAAAATTTAGAATCATAAATGTTTTCTAAAATTAGTAACATCAAAACCTAACACTTTATTCCTAACGATGAATAAAAACTATGCTTTTTGATATCATAGACAACGGCTTCTTCAATAATAATGCAATCCGGAAAAATTATATTTTTTGATAGAGCATCTACAGAACTGTTAGGTTAAAAATCACTCTGATTCTACACAGAAGTTTTAAGATTGATATCAAAAGGATACCGGAGTTCCTGATAGACAACATTTATGTAGTCTTTGGAGACCAGGTCTTCCAACAATATGTTAGAATTTCAATGGGCACTTATTGTGCTCCTTCATAGTCGACCTTTCTTACATTCCTATTAAACAGAATTTATTCAATAAATTGCACACGAGAAGAAGAAAACACTTGCTTTGACCCTCAACTCCACATTCAGATATGTCGCCGTCGTTTTATCAATTAACAATAGCTACCTCCATTCGTATGTCGACTCGATATATTTCAGTGAACTCGAAATAAAAAGAAACACCACAGAGGCTGCCATATATATTTCATATAGGGCAACTAACAAATAAACTTTATGATAAACGTGATGACTTCCACCTTTCTATTGTCAACTTTCCTTATTCAATGCAGGTCACGGTAGCCTAGTGGTAGGGCGCTCGCTTCGTGATCGGAAGGCCTGGGTTCGATTGTCGTTCGCCACGCCGCATCAAACCTAAGACGTAAATACGTAAATACGTATAGGTAGTGACAGTTCCTGGCACTAAAAGTGAACGCCACGGGTCTTTTGGGTGTGATCTTAAAAATTGAGTCCCCTGTCACGGTAGGCGTTGGCACAATAAAGAACCCTCACTACTCAATGACTCTGAGTACTGAGTATATGTCTAAATTTGAGGTCCTTCACCTGCATACAGTGATGTTTCTATAAGAGTGAAAAACTCTCAAATGTGAAGTTTAACAACAATCAATCAATCATCCCTTATTTATGCAGCAATATACAGTAAATGTATTTTTATAATGTACAAGATTTGGCAAAAAATTGATTTTTTTCAGCAAGTTAGCGTAGATTTGAATTGGCGTATTTCTGAATGTGCAAGATGTCAATGTATATATATATATATATATATATATATATATATATATATATATATATATATATATATATATATATATATATATATATATATATATATATATATATATATATATATATATATATATATATATAAAAGACGTTAACGATGCACTTGATTTAGCGGAAGTGCTGCTTTCCACCAAAGTCGCTAAATAGAATACACAATTAAATATAATAGGTTTTCAGTACGTGTACCATTATCACCTGCATATGGAGTTTATGTCTCGCAGTTGATTTGATGCGTGAGCATGTTCTATGTGCGAACAATTTCTAAAACGAGACAGACTATTGACAAATAAGTTGATGATACAAGGATATCAACAATTATGTTTAAAGTCAACGTTTCACAAGTTCTATAGTCGATACAACGACCAAGTTTGCGAATACAGTCTGTTAGGTCGAATGTTCGACCAATGTTTTTCATACAAATTGTTTTGCCGTTATTTTCACACTGAATCGTCTACGAATTGTCCGTTCACCAGATCATGACAAAGAGCACATGGCGGGTGTTACAGGTGGGCAGGGTATGCTTACTCCTCCTAAGCACCTGATGCAACCCCTTGAATATCCTGAGGACCGTGCACGTGTTTTATGATCTGCTCAGAGTTGTATTGTTCGTATTTTTTTTTTCTAGATTGATCACTTTTCCTTACCTATTTCATTCTTCTTAACTACCTTATTTTCTTTCTTTAATATCCACATATTTGAAGACAAAATGTAATACATACTTCATGTTATTTAAGTGAAATAAGTGATATATAGGAAAGAAAACTTACGTAATTAATGTACCCCATCGTCAGATTCAGCAACCGCACGTATCGGCTGTTATATCGTAATTCAAAATACTGCAAAAATTATTATGTGTATTAAATTAATGATATCATTACATAATGTTACATAATATAAATTTATAAATATTTCTTTTTCTTTGCAATCCCTGCAGTGTATACCTCATTTATGCTGGTAATTTTCAATGGATGAACCAGTGGTACGACCATGCGAGTAGCGAGGAGACATGAGGTAAGAAATCCGAAATTGGACAACCAAAACATCATTCCATAGACGTAAGTTTCCGCCGGAAATCCTAGCATCATAATGGAGGATTCAAAGGAAACCATGAGTGATATTGCCACGGGTAGAATTTTCATTTGACGACCACCGACAAGGTATTCGGAGGTTGTTTTTTGGCCAGCAATGGCATAGTAGACACCAATCCCAAGAGAAATCGAAATAGTAAGGCAGAATACAACATAATCAACAATCACAAAGCTAGACATATTGCTATCAATGAAATGCCTTGGGTAGAAATTTACTACTGTGAATGAAACACCTAAATGTTTCTATATCTTAACCCGTACCTCCAGATAAGGGCAAACATGATTTGAATTCTGATTTATAGTCCATCATTTGGTTAACGTTGAATTGAAACTCGAAGTGAATTAATTAACCTATATAATCAGACCCTATAATATCTCAACTTTTATTTTGAACAGATTTCATTTACAATGTTCCATAGAAATTTGAAACAAGTTCGTTAAAAACTAAGGTAGCACTCGCTAATTAAATAAGCGCTTCTGCATTTTATGGAGACTGTCTTGACTTTTTTTTTTTGACTTGGGAACTAAAATATATTGAATTTGAAACTAGATTTTGCATCAGGGGAACACCTGTGTCTTGTCATTACATCAGCAATTAGATATAAAACAAGATATCTAGGTTTATTAATGAGATTTAACCACTTGAGGTTAAATCTTTTTATCAAAGGGAAATAATTATTTGTGGTCTGGTCTGGTCGATAATGCATCTTGTTCTCTTGGCGATTTTTACGGTATTTATCGGTTCCATTCATACTTCGGGGATATTAGTAGCACCTAGCAGAGAACTCTGACGTCACGTCACTTATTCGTCATCAGTCTGTGCTGAAACTTTTAGAGGTAAGGATGTCTCGAAAATACAAGAAGGTTTTTTCGTAAATTTATGTCGGCTATTTCATAGTATATATTTATACGCGTTGACTTACTTATGCCTGGTTAAAGGCGATTTATTTATTTATTCTTCTCGATGGGTGAATAAGGGAAAAAATTCTGTCGGATTGTAGGACTCATGTGTAAGAAATTTTTCTCATCCCAGCTATGCGCAAGCAGCACGTGGCTTGTCATATTACATATGTACATGAAAAAAGGTCGTTCTAGTATTATTTTACTTTATCATTTAGTTTTTTTTTCTATGTATTATCAAATGGAAATACGAAAAGGGAGAAGAATATGTAACAAATTCATTGATGTACATGCATATTCCATGTTTTGTTATACTCTCGATAAATAATCACGAGAAGTGAAAGCGAGGTGAGGCGGATGACGAAGAAAGAGTTGCAAGCATTCTCTCTTTTTTATGTTTCAGTGGAAAACGGTATAGGCTACCGGGTATTCAAAACAGCTTATAGAGACAAAAGGGTTACATTGTCAATGACACATGGTGCATTTTAGAATACAGAGCTAGGAGGGGGTGTTAGCCCCAGATTTAAAAAAAAAATGGAGGTCCAACCCCCAAGTGCCTGTTGATCAAGATTGACTTACTGTGCAGGAAGTATTATACGGCTACATGTCTTGACCTCCTTATCACTGGTATAGATTCCCAGTAAGACATACCCTAGGTCCCGGACTTAACCCTGGTCTTGTAGCAGCACTGCAAACAACAATTTTTGACACCAGAGCAATAATCGAGGGGGCACCTAGAGGGTGGTGTATTAACTATTAAGATTGAAATTAGTTTCAGCATACTCCTTGATTTCAGCTATAGCTTCAGTATAGGCTAGTCGAATTTTTAGATTACTATAAATCTGAAGCTAGAGGGATTACAAACATACAAGTCTGGACCTATTAGCTTTTCTTTGACTGGAATATAAATTGTGTACATCTATATTTCTTTGGCACACCTTCATGCATAAGTACAGTCCACATTAGCTATGTCAAGATTTTAAGCAGAATAAAAATATTTAGGAATAAAATCAGAATTGTATTGCATCTCCTAAAACAGTTTACTACTATTAAAGTGATTAAGACAAGATTTTTGGAGATACATTATTCATGTGACTAAATACTTCCAATGTCTGCTAATCTTAAATTTTTAAGTTGTGTGCAAAAATTCTGTGTCATGTTAAGCTAAAACTTGCTGAATTATGAATTTTGAAACTCTAGGTTATTTTCTATTTTGAATCTGTAAAACAATAATTTTCCACATTTAAAAAACGTTGTACTCTGTATTTTGCATGCTACATCTTTATTATCATATAAATCCTTTAAATAATAAAATATTCTTTAATACATATATCCATAAAGTCCGAAATACAATTAAAATTTATCTTAGAAGTTATAACATTAAATTATAAATCAATCTAAAATTACATTCATACAATTACGTCTTTAAAAAAAAAGCGGTGAATAAAGATCATTTTTTGAGACTGGTTGCCAAAACTTGTGCGGCATGTAATTTAAAAACTTTTCTATTAAAATGTGTCTCAAAATGTCTTTTGAAAAAGACCAGGCCGGGACTGACCTGTTTAATCATAGCTATTAATCCTATTTTGGACCATGAGTTATATCTAAGAATAGTATTTTAGTCATGATTTATTAATATTTAGTACTCAGTCCATTTCTTATAAGGGTTGTCATATGATGAAAGAGTAGCAGCAAGATTCTGATCTTAATTCCTTTTTCATTATAATATCAAATATGACTTTTTAGTCTCTAGTGATATTAAACATAGATATGAATTTTTTTTTAGCAAATAAGAAATGTTCCTAGATCATATTCATGTCTAAGTACACAAGTGTCTTAGTTAATTATAATATGAGATGTCTTATTTTTCTAAAAGATAATTAATCAAAATTGTTATATTAAAAAAAAAATGTATAAAAGCTCGAAATCCATATCTCAGTGACAGGCAAAATTATAAACTCAATTTGTCTAGGTATAGTTTTAGGAGACTTTTGGCATGCAAATATTAAATTAAAAAAAAAGTTGAATATTTCATCACATAAAAAGTTGGTATTAAGAGGCGCTGCAAGCCGTCTAGGCACAAGTCTCCGTTAATCATTATAAATAAATAAATAAAAATAAATAGATAATTATTTGGTTATTTATATTTACATGTACAGGCAATATGAATTATCCAATGATTAAAAAGAACTATGTTGACCTGATAAAGTTTCTTAGTTTTAAAAAAAAAAAGGATTTGCCTCCGTTGGCATGTTAATGTTATTAGTCAATATAATTGAGCCAATATTCTGAAAGACAATCCATCAATTTTTGGAGACCTTTTTTGTAGCTATAGAATAAAGGAAGATTGCATGAGTCATCTGCAAGGAAAAATGTCTAACTTCAATATTTTATCAATTCTGGTAGTTTTTTTTTGTTGCAAGATGTGAGTAGAGATAAGCATAGAGTGTAGGGGGGAAAACTCTCTCATTCAGGTTTGTACAACTCATCTCCTTGGCACAATGGTTTTATATGGCAAGATTCATTCTTAAGCAGCTTTAACTGTTTTGAATACATAATTTTAGAAAATTCATGAGAGGTTTCTCAAAAATGAAACAATAATTATAACCCAGTAGTCAATCTAAAATATATTGAATTTGAAACTAGATTTTGCATCAGGGGAACACCTGTGTCTTATCATTACATCAGCAATTAGATATCAAACAAGATATCTAGGTTTATTAATCATGTTTGACACTAAAGATAATTTATGTACTGTATGTTTTTTCGCCTTTCAATTTACTTTATTTTTTTTTAATGATTGAAGTAAAATGTGGAAAGAGTATGAGCAATGTGTTAATTGTCGAATTCTAGTACAACCATTAAATATTATTTACATAAACCATGGTAATCAAAGTTTCTAACATCTAGAGGGTGAAGGAGGGGTGGGTTGGTAAGGGGGGCAATGAAACGTCAATTTAAACTTTAAAAAAAACCCATCCATTTCGTTGACTACCTTTGCTCACTACTCCCCCTTCTATCCAAGTTATGGTTGCTCAATTAAGAAATTATAAATAGTTTTAAAAATTATTATATTGTTAATTTTAATTAAAATTTATTCACTTGACACGTAAATTAAAGCTACAGGTTTGTGATATAGGTACAAAAATATTGCAGAAACACAGAGGCATCTAGAACACAAAAAAGGAAATGTCCCCTGTTAGCACAGAGCATTTATAGCTTTAAGTGAATAGAAAATTTGATTCTGATATATGTATTTTCCCAAATTAGTTGCTCGCTTATCTAAAACTAATTTCTAGAAATAAAATATTGAAACTTTTTTTTTTATGGAATTTGTCTTTGAATTTAAAGGATTTCAGTTTTCATTTTTTCCTCCTTACTTTTGGTTCATGGAGATATATTGTATTTTGGTAATATTTATACAACCTATTATAAAAAAAAAAATAAATGTGTTTTACAACTTGTTATAAAAATTGTCTATCGTATCGCGTGCGCTGTTTCTGCATTGTTGTGTAATATTGTGGCCTCGGTGGAAGTGTAGGCACGAATTGTTATTGGTGTTGTGCATACTGTGGTGGTGCATAAAATTGCTGGGGAAAAGTTTGAGTGACAGTATTGACTTCTGTTTTCTGAATTTTCTCTTTAATACCCTTCATTTTCTAAAGTGCTAATCTGACTTGTTCGTGATTTCTCTGCCAACAAGGCAATTTGCCTTAATTTTTTCATTGTTTTAGGATTTTGTATTGCTACAAAAGATTTAATATCATTCCTTAACCCGTTCATAGCAGCAGATAACAAGACATTTCCGGAACATTTTTGATTAAAGCCTTTTTGATTAGTCTAGTTAAAAAATCTTTTACAGATTCTGTAACATTTTGTTTCATTTGCAACACTGACAAATCTAAGAAATTGTCGAACTCTCTGAATCTTTCCTGAAATGATTTATTAATGATATATGAATTTGACTTTTGCTGAAAGGGTAGAGAATCGTACCATACTTTTGCATGCCCTTCTAAATGAAAGGGAAACGCGTTAACAATCTTGTTATCAGGTAAATCAAAATCCTAAGAAAATTGCATTGTTGGCAGAGAAATGAAAAAATAAGCAAGGAATAAAGTGTCTGTTCTAAAACTAAGGACAGACTAGAAGAAATCGTAACTGGAAAGCCTGATTGTACATAATATATTTATACAAATGTGCTTAGGGTTTACATGATGTGTGTGTGTATGTAACCTGAAAATAGATAATGTATGACCAGTCATTTTGAACTGCATGGGCAATTATGTAACTGTTGCTACAATATTGCTACGAT